TCAAGATAAAAGCCTGAGTGGGAACTGAAGGGACAGGGCAGCTCTTTTCCTCCCTGGCTGCTTGAGGACATACCGCCATCATGAATGACACAGTAACTATCTGAACCAGGAAATTCACGACCAACCGACTACTTCAGAGGAAACAAATGGTCATTGATGTCCTTCACCCCGGGAAGGCAATAGTACCTAAGACAAAAATTTGAGAAAAACTAGCGAAGATGAACAAGATCACACCAGATGTCATCTTTGTGTTTGGGTTCAGAACCCATTTTGGTGGTGGCAAGACAACTGGCTTTGGCATGATTTACGATTCTTTGGATTATGCGAAGAAAAATGAACCCGAACATAGACTTGCAAGGCATGGCCTTTATGAGAAGAAAAAGACGTCAAGAAAACAGCGAAAGGAACGCAAGAACAGAATGAAGAAAGTCAGGGGGACTGCAAAGGCCAATGTTGGTGCTGGCAAAAAGTCGAAGGAGTAAAGATTCTGCAATGACTATCTGTGGGGATTGTGTGGATTTTTCATGAGAGGGTTAATAAACTAAAAAAATTTTATGTGTAAAAGAAAAAGAAAAAGGGACAGGGCACAGGAAAGGCTCCAAGGAGGGAGAAGCATGCTCACAGGGTCTGTCCAGATTATGGCTCGACAAGGTTGGCTTGAAAGAGCTCTAGCTATTTTATTACCTTGGAAGATGGAATGTTCTTATCATAAATTCATGATGAAGGGAAAAAAAAAAGGTTCACCTCCCAGCTGGCCAGCCGTCTGTGTCATGGATCACTCAATTGTACTTTCCACTCCATGCTACGTGAGGATCTACCCCACACCATGGGGAAATGTTCTGCATTAATAATGAATCTAGAATGTGCCAGAGAGATAAATCACGTTCAGAGCAAATGGGAGGGTACAGCTCTGCTTCGAATCGCTTCTGCAGCTATAAAGTTCGGTTAACAACATTTTCCCATTATTCAAAGATTTTGGCAGCACTTCTGCCCAAAGAATGGCAAAATTCCTATCATGTTTGAAAGCTTGCTTTAGAATAAAAAAAGCAGTGTAGTCAGAAAAGACTTGAGGTTTAGTCATAAGATAACATTTTTAATTTGGTTCTTCCACTTATTTACAATTGGTCTCAGCAAACCATTAACCCTCCTCTATCTTAGCTCGCCTAGCTGTACGGGAACATAACAATAGCTGCCTTACTAACCTACACAGTGGTTCTGATGACACCCCTCCAGAGAGAAATACGCAAAAATGCTTTACATAAAAGCATATAATTTCTGCTTGACTATAAAAAGCACGGTGGGGTGAGGCCAGCAGGTGGCAAGATGGCTAAGGATTCTGCATGGCTGATCACCGTACAAGTCCCAGACCCAGTGGCTTGAAACACGTTGGGCACACGTGACGCGTGCTCACAATCCTGAGAGGAGATAGGAGATGGGATTGTAGCAAGGCCATCCCCTGGGAGGTGGGGGAGTACTTTTCACTTTCTCTCTCCTTGAATGCATGTGCCCTATGGCAAAAATCTAAGAATGAAAAAATGAAAGTTATCATGGGGCTGGTCTTGAAGCCTAGTGGTTAAGGAAACTGGCTCCCACAAGGCTGACTGTGGTTCTAATCTTGGCCCTTTTGGTTTGGAAAACACGCCAGACACATTTTCCTCTCTCTCTCTTTTTGTCCATCTGTCTCTCTGGTGATTGCAGATGCCCTTTGGTAATGAAAAAAAAAAAAAAAGCCACCAGGTGCTTTGGGAACTTTATTTAATAACTTTGTGGCAAATCCATTGTAGAAATTCTACTCAGCCTGAAAGGATTGCATTAACTCTCAGAAGTGTGTGTGGGTCTTATGAAAAATAACTGCTCATCTCTCCTCAATAATATCGCCTGGGGTGCCAGCAGGTCCCATAGTGGTTAAGGTGCTGGACTCTCACATGGCTGACCTCAGTTCAAGTCTCAGATCCGGCACCTTGACACTCAGGCTGGGCATATGTATGTGCATGACCAAAGTTCTGAGAAGAAAATGAAGGAGAAGGGATTGTGGTGTGGCCATCCCCCTGGGGAGAGGGATTTCTCACTGTCTCTCTGTCTTGCTCTATCTCTTGGGCAAGTACATGCATCCTATGGCAAAAATCTCTCAAAAAAGAAAATAGGAAAAAGAGTATCAGTCTGTTTTGAGCAGGTTCATGAACCTCTGGACGCCATAAGCTACTGCAGCTCTACAGATGGCAATGTCATCTCCGATGGCTCAGTCCAGCAACCTGAAGTCATCCTTGACTTCGCTGTGCCATGCTCTATCCGTACTGGTGCGTTGTTCTGTGCCAAGCATGCCTTTATACTGAAGTCAGACTGGGTCACTCCAGTGCGCAAAATGCTCCAGCTGGGAGACGGATGATGATGCAGCGATAAAATGCAGTGCTCTGCAAGAAGGTTCCAGCTTCATGGCCCAAGACCTCCCTGAACATGTCAGGTGTGCCATGATTCAGGGTTTGCTGAGACCAAGGATGGATGACAGCATCAAGGCCCTGTAGGAAATGCTCTCTCATTCTCTTTCTCAAAAGAAATTATTATTTTTTTTAATTGACAGAGGATGCATGCAATTGCCAGAGAGAGAGAGAGAGAGAGAGAGTAAGCATTTTTAGTGGGGTATGGCTACACTGCAATCCCTTACTCCATTTCTCCATCCCATCGTGATTTGGGGCATGCACACACACACACACACACACACACACACACACACACATCCGGAAGTGTTTTTGAAGACACTGGGACCCAAATTTGAACCTTAATCAGCCATGTAGGATCTGGCTCCCTATACACAGCGCTTAACCATTGCACTATGGAGTCAGTCCAAGAAACAGATAAAAAAAGAAAAAAAAACTCTGCAGCGACTGCACCCTCACTCGGTCTGACCCCTGCCTGTAAATCCCACACGGTCCATCCCTGTTGAGCTCACAGACTTCATCCCCTGCCAGACTCTCAAGTCGCTCTGGTCACTCTGGTCTCTTTGCCTTCCCCAAAACATGCAGTTTGCAAATGTTGTTCTATCGTGCTAGTAAGGCTCTCTCCTAGAAACCGCCACTCACTTCCTCTCTTTCTTCAGGGCTGCACTCAGTGTCACCTCATCTGCCTGTACCATATGGAATAACGAGCCCTCCCTGCACCCTGAGCTAGCAGCCACTCTCTGTCTCCTTCTCTTCCTTTTTCTCCATGGCTCTTGTTCCCACCTTGCATATTATTTAGTTGTATATTGTTTGTTTTTCATGTGCCCCCACTTTCCCCTGATACCTGTACCTCGTGAAGAAAAAAAGTTTCTCACAAAAGCAGAAACGTTGTTCTATTCATTCTTATAGCCCTAGAGCTTAGAATAGTGCCTGGTTCATAGTAGGGACTCATGGGCTGTTTATTGACTGACCAACTGAATAAATGAATAAGTCTTCTAAGTGTGATACATACGAGGAACTTCACAACGTTCAGGGGAAAATGAAATTAAAATAGAAGTTTATTTTGATTAAAACATTTTTTGACATCCATGCGTAGTTTCTTCTTAACACACAAAAGTTTATTTTCTATAAACTTTTTTTAAAAATTCTTTTATTTATTTATTCCATGACCAAGAGAGAGAGAAAGAGACCCCTAACAAGGTCTTGACACCATGAGCAACCCCAGTTCTTCACCCAGCCCCAGATCATGGGCAGGTGCATGCCCAGCAACTCAGGGAGGTCCCCAGAGGTAAGCTGGGAACCTCCTCATGTGGGATTGACTTGTTGAGCACTACATTTTGCCATAGTGCTACCATATGGCCCCTTCCCTGAACTTTTTAAAGATTTCTTGTACATACACACATATGTACCTAGTAGATATGTAGATAGGCCAATGCTATAGTTACATGATAGTGAATTGTTTTTTAATGAGATTTTTGCGATAGAGCACATGCACTCCCCAGAGAGAAAGAGATAGAGATAGAATGCATCCCCCAGAGAGATGACCATGCTGCAATCCCTTCTCCTCCCTTCTCCTCCTGGGATTTTGGGCATGTATGCACATACATCTGGCATGATTACCAAGCTGTTGAGTCCAGGAATTGAATCATGGTCAAACATGTGGAAGCCCAATGCCTTTACCATTATGCTACCTGCTATGGCCCCAATGAAATACTTTTAATATTTATAGGCCATTTATAGCTCTCCTTTTGTACTTGGTCTCTTCATGTCTTTGTCCATTTTTCCTGTGGAGGTGATATTGTTTTATTTGTATTTGCTCAGTATATAAAAGACTATTTCCCCATAGACCTTATGCAATGCAGGATAGGGAACAGGGTTTTTCCCTTTTATTCTTTATTCAGGATAGAGCACATGTATGCAAACATGAGCAAGAGAGAAAGAGAGAGGAGCACCCTCCCCAGGTCTGGTCCCACCATGACCCCATCCTGCAGTCCTCCCGCCTGTCAGATCTTGGGCATTTGAGCACGTGCCCGGTGTGTTTCAGGTAGTTCCGGCCAGGGATTTCAACCATGGTCGCCATTTGGGATCCAGCTTCTCTTGAGCAGTACAGTACTGCGCGCTCACAGAGCCAGTCTCCTTTCTTGTTTGTTTGTTTGGCTGGTTTGCTTTTGGGTTTTTTGAAATTGGATCTCATCAAGCTACCCATTCTTTAATTTGCCAGAGGAAACATGCTTTCACCAGAGAGAGACCGAGAGTGAGAGGAAGAAAGCACCCCTGCAGTGGGGCCTGGTCATGCTGTAGTTTCTTCTCCTCTGTTTCTCCATCCTCCTGGGATTTGGGGCACACACACACACATGCATGCAACTGATGTGTCCCGAGCCACTGGGTCTTGAACTTGAACCATGAGGTCAGCCATGTGGCACCTGTCTCCCTTAACCATCAGGCCATAGGGCTGGTCTGGGTGCTATTTTAATGTGAGGGGTTTGAAATGCCTTTTATGATTGACCAAGTCACTCATGGATGAGTCATTGTCTTCTGTTTCTCTCATTTTAATTTGATTCTCAGAATTGGACTCTTGTGCTCTGGGGAACCATGGTTGTGAACACTCGTGTGTAAGCAGTGAAGACTCATTTGTGTGCCAGTGCTTTGAAGGATATATACTCCGTGAAGATGGGAAAACCTGCAGAAGTGAGTTTTTACTGGAACTGGCTCATATTGCTACGTGAGACTCAGCATGAAATCCACTCTCCTGATCGCTAATGTAAACCAGTTACTCTCAAAAGTCAATATCTAGGCTGGCCTATGGTGGCTGGAGCTCACATGACCGACTGCACGGTTGAAGTCCCTGACCCGGTGACTTGAAAAACACAACACATTGTGTGTGTGTGTGTGTGCGTGTGTGTGTGTACCCAAAGTCCTGACAGGAGAGATGGAGGAGAAGGGATTGCTACATGATCGTCCCCCATTGGGGATACTTTCTCACTTTCTCTCTCTGGCAAATGAATACACCCTCTGACAAAATTTTGAAAAATAAAAAAGTCAGTGCCACACAATTTAATGTGATGTGGCATGCTGGATAGGGTCCTAGAACAGAAAAAAGGACATCAGGTGAAGACTAAATACATGTAAATCAAAAAGAACTTCAGCGAGTAGCATATCTATATAGAGTCATTAATTATAACAAATATACCAGACCGTATTAAATATATTAATAATAGGGGGAACTGGGTGTGGTGTAAATGAGAATTCTCTGTAATAGCATCTCACTTTTTCTGTAAGTCTGACACTGTCCTAAAAACCAAAGCTGATTTTAAAAAGCGAACAGACAAAAAAGTCAATGCCAGAGATGTGACTGAAGTTGCTCATTGATACTCAGCGACAAGAACCAGTGGCTTAGCCATGTGCTCTGGTGGCCAGACATGCAGGCTGGAACCCAGAGTCTGTCTTCTAGCTCCGTTGTTTATTAGCTGGGAAGTTGCTTACTTCTCTGAGCCTCTGTTTATCTCTTTAATAGTGTGATGGCTGTGGCTCTTATTTCTGGCATCACAAATCCCTCACCTTGAGATGAGGTTATTCTTACATTTCAGAAAGCAAAGCCTCTTAAGTGGGGCCACACCACACCTGCCTGGGCCAAGCAGCCTCTGAGAGAACTGCTGGTGTAAATCTCAAAACAGATCACTGGGTGATCAGGGGGCGAGCGTGATTTCCATCTTTCTCTCAAGCTTCTCAAAAGTGCTATGGAAAGAGCAACTCATGGTGGCTTTATTTGAAGGAACGATGGATCACTGGAATGATTACTCACTCTCATTTTTCAGACAAGGAAAGCAGAGACTCCTCGAACTTAGTGATGCTCTTAAGTCATATGTTATGTCAGGGACAAAGCCAAAATTAGATTCCAGTGATGCTAATCTGAACTGAGGTTTAACTTTCCTAAGTAGTCATACTGGCAGTGTTTCCATTCTATAATGTCAGAAACGATAGCTACAGAAAGTTGGTGATGAACTTCATATTTATGAGACCCTGAGGTAGGTGCGGGGAAAGGCTGATGGTCATGATACTGAAAAAGTTAGAAGCGTTCACCCCAATTGGAGCCACCAAACTTCATCCTCAATGTTACCCTTTAGCTTAAGTGGTACTAGAGTCCACTGGCCGAGTTGGATGGATCCTACAAAACTCATGTTGGTAAAAGTCTTTTAAGTTGTTCTGCCATCCTCAGGGAAAGATGTCTGCCAAGCAGTAGACCACGGCTGTGAACACGTGTGTGTGAGCAGGGGCGAATCATATATCTGCAAGTGCTTGGAGGGGTTCCGGCTTGCTGAGGATGGGAAACGCTGCAGAAGTAAGTAGGCTCAAGGGGGAGAACTGTCCCTCTTTCTTGGGGTACCTTTTTTGTTTGTTTGTTTGTTTTCTGTAAGGCCTTTTCCCTTAGGGCCAAATGTTTGGATAAGGTCCACCCACACTTTGAAGGATAATTTGATAGTCTCAAAGTCTGCTGATTTCAGTGTTAATCACAGATAAAGAAACACCTTCGTTGTGTCATCTAGACTGCTGTTTGACCAAACAACTGGACACCACAGCTTAGCACAAGTGACACGAAATTAACCTTCAGCAGGTGGCATCGTGGTTAGGGTGCTGGACTCTCACATTCCTAACTGTGGTTCAAGTCCTGGACTCAGTGTCTTGAAACTCATGTCAGGTACGTGGGCGTGCATGCCCAAAATCCCAAGAGAAGACTGGAGGAAAAGGGATTGTGGCACAGCCTTCCCCCTGGAGGGGGTGATTTCTCACTTTCCCTTTCTCTCTAGTGAACATACATGCCCTATAACAAAAACCTAAAAAAAAAAAAGGACTAGCAGATGTGGTAATGGTTACGTTGCTTGACTCCCACATGCCCAACCAAGGTTTGAGTCCTGGACCCGGAGGCTTGAAACTCAAGCCAGGCACATGTGCATGCCTGCCCAAGATCCTGAGAGGAGAATGGAGGAGAAGGGATTGCTTCATGCCCATCCCCTGTAGTAGGATGATTTCTTACTTTCTGTCTCTCAGTCTGTTTCTGTCTCTCTGGCAAGTGCATGTGCCCTGTAGCAAAAATTTCTAAAAAAAAAAAAAAAAGAAAAAATTAGCTTTTACAGCACCCAGAGGAAGAGAGGGACGTGACACACTAGCTCAGTGAGGTGAGCTTAGGAGGTTGTGGGGCAGGGATTTTTCTCATGGTGGGAATCTGAAATGTTCATCTACTACCTTTTGGGGGCTTTGACAGTGTTTATAAATATTTTTTACGTTTGCTAGAGGGTCCATGCACTCACTAGAGAGAGGGAGAGAGAAAGAAAGAAAGTGAGAAAGCGCTCCTTATGGAGGGTGGTCTTATCGCAATCCCTTCACCTCCCTTTATCCCTTCTTTTGGGATTTTGGGCACACAGACACCCCTGGTGTTTCTCAAGCTTTCAGGTCTGGACACGAGCCATGCAGTCAGTCACTTAGGATCCAGCCTTTTAACCACCACACCACAGGCTAGCCCCTAAAACTTAACAATAAATTCAGATACACGATTACCCACTGACCTACCATTCAGACTTGTAGGGACTAGAGATTTCTTTCTGAGGGCCACTTTGCCCTTATCATGGTATGTGCTGAATATGATACTAAAAAAGGTGTTGTAAAGTAGGTTTGAACAGAGATGGATTTTTTTTTTTTTGGAGAGATTTTTGCTATAGGGTGCGTGCGCTCGCCAGAAAGACAGAGAGAGACAGAGAAATAGAAAGCGAGAAATCACCCCCCAGGGGGGATGGCCACGCCACAATCCCTTCTCCTCTATTCTCCTCTCAGGATCTTGGGCACGCACGCACACGCACCTGGCATGAGTTTAAGCCACCGGGTTCAGGACTCAAACCGCGGTCGACTACGTGAGAGTCCAGCAATATAGCCATTATGCTAACTGCTGGTCCCAAGATGGATTTTTTTTTAAATGGATCATTTCTGTCATCTCTCTCCTTACATGCCTATTCAATCTAGCTCACTTCTACACTGACCGGATTGTGAAACGTCTTACTTTTTCCTCAGGGAAGGATGTCTGCAAATCAGCTCGCCACGGCTGCGAACACATTTGTGTTAATAATGGCGATTCCTACATCTGCAAGTGCTCAGAGGGATTCGTTCTAGCCGAGGATGGAAGACAGTGCAAGAGTAAGTGATCAGAACTTGGCTCCCGGCTTTAATTTGGTTTTGAATCAAGTGCTTGTTGGAGTATTTTCAGGAAACGATGCCCTCACTTCTTTCATAAATATAAGTGCATATGCACAAATACAGAATGGGCGGAGGGAGAGAGAGCTTAGTTGCAGCACCTGCAGAAACACTCTGTTTGAAATGACAGCAAGTGCATTATCAGCCCAAAGGCTCGGGGCATCTTAGGCTCAGTATAATACCTGGGGCCTGCTCTGTGGTACATTGGAAAAGCACTGCTTAAGGGAAGCCAGATTCCACATGGCAGCCAGGGTTTGAATCTTTGGCTTGGCTGGCCTGAAGCCTACTGGGCACGCGTGCAAGTGCCCAAGATCAGAAGGGCTGGAGGACTGAGGAAAAAGCTCAGCCACATCCTGTGGAGATTGCTCCCCTCTCTCTGTCACTCTCTCATGTGTGCACATGTGCGCTATCATGAATAAAGACAAACAAAATAAAATAAATACAAAATTTTAAAATAATATCTGAACAAGGGAGGTAGAATTGTGCTTTCTCTAATGGAGAATTATATTTGGTTCTGGGCATTCTAGTTTAGGAAAAGAGAGATGTTTGTGAAACAAACAAACAAACAAAAAGACCAAAAAATAGCAAGAGAAATTATTTTAAAAATTATTAAATTATTTTAGAGTAAAAACATTCTTTCTAGGGGACCAGCGGGTGGTGTGGTGGTTAAGGCTCTGGACACTCCCATGTGGCTGACCATGGTTCAAGTCCTGGACCTGGTGGCTTGCTTTCTCATTTTCCCTCTCTATCTCTCTCATTGGTCAAATTAAAAAATAAATGAATGAATGAATGAAATTAAATAAATAATTATTTTAAAATAAAAGTTCTTTCTAAACATGATGAATTTTTTGTTGTTTAGATTTTTTTGCTAGATGACACATGCTCTCACTGGAGAGAGACAGAGAGACACAAAGAGTGAGGGAAAGTGAGAAATCACTCCCTAGGAGCACTGGCCATGAGTAATCCCATCTTCTCCATTCTCTTGGGATTTGGGCCATCTACATACATGTGCACAGCATGTTTTTCAGGCTGCCAAGTCAAGGACTCAAACTGCATAGTTGGCCATGTGGAATCCAGCACCTTAACCACCATGCCATCTGTTGGGACAACCTGACAGGAAATTTAAAAGCCTTTTTTTAAAAAAAAAAAAAAAAAAAAAAGAGAGAGAGAGAGAGATGTATCAGAGGGCATGTGCAGTTGCTGGAAAGACAGAGAGACAGAGAGAAAGCAAGCCACTAGGTCTGGGACTCAAACCAGCGTCTGCCATGTGGGAGTCCAGTGCCCCAATCACCACGCCACCTGCCGACCCCACAGTATTTTATGACTTAACTGTGAACTTTCCTTTGGTTCTTGTAGGATGCACTGAAGGCCCAATTGACTTGGTCTTTGTTATTGATGGATCCAAGAGCCTTGGAGAAGAGAATTTTGAGATTGTGAAGCAGTTCGTCGCCGGCATCATAGATTCCTTAGCAGTTTCCCCTAAGGCCGCCCGGGTGGGGCTGCTCCAGTATTCCACACAGGTCCGCACAGAGTTCACCCTGAGAAGCTTCAGCTCGGCCAAAGACATGAAAAAAGCCGTGGCCCACATGAAGTACATGGGCAAGGGTTCCATGACTGGGCTGGCCCTGAAACACATGTTTGAGAGAAGTTTTACCCAAGTAGAAGGGGCCAGGGCCCTCTCCGCACGGGTGCCCAGAGTGGCCATCGTGTTCACCGACGGACGGGCACAGGATGATGTCTCCGAGTGGGCCAGTAAAGCCAAGGTCAACGGTAATGTGGGGTGGGGGTGTGGTTTACACCACTCAAGATTCAGGTTTCTGAAACTGACTGGATGGCAGTAGGAGTGCAATTTTTTGAGAGTATAGAAAGTCTCCCTATCAACTGCCATTGTATATCTTTACCAAACTGCTACCTGGAAGCCTTAATGGGACCCCGCAGAAGTGGAATAGAGTGCCTAGGAAGGATGAGAAGGTCTCACAGACTAGCTCAGGCTACGCACACTGCACTAGGTGTCATCTGTGATCACACTGTGAAAGCCAGTGCACGACCTCCTGTGGAGAAAATGACCCCGCCTGTGTTATTTAACTATAGACAGTTCCCAGTTCCTGAACACTGGTATGGCTGCTTTAGAAGCACCTGAAGAGCTTGTTAAAAACAGATTTCTTGAGACCGAGCAGGTGGTATGATGGTTAAGGTGCTAGATCCCACAGGCCCAACTACATGGTTCAAGTCTCGAGCCCAGTGACTTGAAATCACACAGGGTACACAGGATGCGAAGAGAATAGAGAAGAAGGGATTGTAACATGGCCATCTCCCCTGGAGGTGATTTCTCACTTTCCCTCTCACTGTCTCCCTCTGTCTTTTTTTTTTTTTTTAATAATACAAGTCATATGAATGTATGTATATATGTATGTATTTATTGTCTCCCTCTGTCTTTCTGTGGTAAACACACACGCCCTATAGCAAAAACAAAAAGGATTCCTGGTGGAAACTTTTACTTAGCTTTTACTTTACTTTTATATATGTATATACCTTTTACTTATTTATTTATTTTTAAGGTTTTTGCCACAAGGGTGTGTGTGCCTCCCAGAGAGAGACAGAAAGAGACAGTGAGAGGGAAAATGAGACATTGTTCCCCCAGAGGGGATAGCCACACTGCAGTTCCTTCTCTTCCATTCTCCTCCTGGGGTTCTGGGCACTCGTGCACTCGTACCTGATGTGATTTTCAAGCTGTCAAGTCCAGAACTTGAACCACGGTCCACCATGTAGGAGTCCAGCACCTTAACCACCATGCCACCTGCTGGCGCCAAAAGCACAATAGCTTGAAGAGAGAATATCCTTGTATTTTCAGGAGGCAAAATCAGCTTTTGAGAAAATCAGAACGTTGGAAAAGATTTTTCCAGGAAAGCTCAGCTCTTTCTCTGAGATTTTCCTGCCGTCGTACTTAATGTAGGGAGAGACTTGAGTGTTGTGTCAGTTGCATAGCCCTACAGTGTGGGAGAGGAGCACGGCCATTGGCAAAAGGAAACCCCAGAGCTCAGATGACCGGTGGAGACAGTTTATGCTGAAGTATCTGGGTTCCTTGGGGGAGATCAGAAAACATGAGATCATGAAGCAGTTTGCTTGAAAGCCACCTTCTCTAAGTATTTGTGAAGGGCACATGTTTTAGCAAGTCCTGTGAGGCAGAAAAGACCGTGCCCAGACCGGTGCCTCCCATGAGACTGCAGATCCAGTGCCTAGATCAGACTTGGCACATCGTAAATTTGTGACAAATCCTTGCTGAGTGAATGAACAAGGAGAGAAAGTACTAGCAGTCTCTCTGGTGTTCTATTCCGGCTCACAGAAAGGCTGGTTCCCACCAACCTTCACTCACTCTGTTTGTGAAGGCAGCAGTTTTATTGACGCTGCTTACCTCACTGTTCACTTCTTTTCCCCTAGCCCAGGAGAGCTATAGCCACAAAAAGCATCCTGCCCTGATCATCTGGGTGGATTGTGAAACTTGCCGTTCACACCAGACTGACTTGCTAGAGCTCACGTCAGCTCCTGGGCCCCTCTAGCCTGCGCTTTCTTTTTCTTTCTTTGTTTCTTTCTTTTCTTTTCTTTCTTTCTTTCTTTCTTTCTTTCTTTCTTTCTTTCTTTCTTTCTTTCTTTCTTTCTTTCTTTCTTCTTTCTTTCTTCCTTTCTTTGTTTTTCTCTCTTCCTTTCTTTTTCTTTCTTTCTTCCTTTCTCTTTCTTCCTTCCTTCCTCTTTCTTTTTCTCTTTCTCTCTCTTTTTTTTAGGAGAGATTTTTACTATAGGGTGCATGTACTCCCTGGAGAGACAGAGAGAGACAGAGACAGAAAGCAAGAAATCACCCCGTGGGGGAAATGGCTATGCTGCAGTCCCTTCTCCTCCATTCTCCTCTTGGGATCTTGAGCACTCATGCACACACAACTGGTGTGTTTCAAGCTGCTGGGTCCAGGACTCAAACCATGGTCGACTACATGGGAGTCCAGCAATATAACCATTATGCCATCCGCTGGTCCTCTAGTCTGAATTTTCAAAAGTACCAAGGGTAGCATGTGGGTCTCCAGGAACAGTGCTTAGCCCTTTTATTTGTCTAATTAAGACTGGTCTACCATATACTTCCCCTATTCAGATTTCTACCAGTTACCCAAAGGCAGGTCATAGGAGAAGCAGGTTATTTATTTGGTTCTTGAATCAGTAAAATTTATTTGAAGTGACATCCTCTAATGAATTTAATTACTCTTATGTGTAGCCAACATACTCTTAAAATAGCAGCTATCCTTTTTAGGAAGTTGTGCATAAAGTCACTGGGCTCCTGCACAAATATGCTGAACTTGGCTATTGACCTTACACAGACACAGAGCAAGACAAAAGTCTTGTCCCTTGGCTCAGAAGGCCATTCTTATGTGCAGTTAAAGCATTCTAGTTTAATGAATTAGCTATAATAAGTATCAGTGCTGAAAAATGTTGGGGATATCCTGAACTTAATTCTTAATGCATTTTACTTTCAAATGAAGAGTATTGGAAGAAAGGGAGTCTAATGATTCATTTTATTTAGAAAAGCTTTTAAAACAACCTCATATCCTTCTTACAATCTAAGGTTGATACTCGGGTTTGTTCTTTGGTTAGACTTTGGCATTGCCAGTGGTCTGTGGATTCTTCCATTCAGCTTAGCTCTGCCTCCCAAGGTTGTATCCCCCCGCCCCCAGAGGGTAGAAGAAAGAGTTTCTCTTGGCCAGGGTTGCTGAAGGTTCCTGTCTTGAACCTTTGAGAAGTGGAATGTAGATCATAAGGTCATAAACTGACCTACTTTTTGGAATTCTTCCAGAAGAGATTCCGTGCAGCAAACCATAGACGGTATTATTTTCTTCTTTTCCAGAAGGCTACTCAGGAAACAGCTGTAGATTCATTAAGTAGCTGACCATAGCTGAGCAACATGTTGGTGGGTTAGCACCTAACCTCTCCCAGATAACACTTTCTTGAGTCCTTCTCTTTTGCTCATAGGGCCAAAAAGGGGAAGTGGGAAGGTGTTTTTAAAAAAGGGAGATTGATATGGATCCCTTCAAATCACTGGCTTTGGGTGCAGGACACACAACTTCCAAACCTAGGGACACAACTCTAACACCTCGTTCTTAATCTGCTCTGCACCATAGGTATCACTATGTATGCCGTCGGGGTAGGAAAAGCCATTGAGGAAGAACTACAAGAGATTGCCTCTGAGCCAACAGACAAGCACCTCTTCTATGCCGAAGACTTCAGCACGATGGGCGAGATAAGTGAAAAACTAAAGAAAGGCATCTGTGAAGGTACTTAGCTTATGTCTAGGAAAGACTGTAGAGAAGAGGGCACATGAATATTTGAATAAGGCATTCTCAACCAGTTCCTTCGAAGTGCTTGAAAAAGTATCTCTCTAGGGGGCAGGGCCACTGATGTCTGGAAAGCTAAGCACAAAAAGGAAATGGGAGAGAAGGGAAGATGGAAGTAACTGCTATCCCTGCTGGGGGACTTGCTCTGTGCTGGTGGTGCAATGAGTGTTTTGACACTAGCATACTTAGTCCTCACCAAAACCCTAGGGAGATGATTATTTAACTAAGAAGCAATCATCCTATCAATCAGGACACTTGAGGTGCAATTTCAGAACAGGCCTGTGACTGGAATGGAAAGGGATGGTAGTCCTTTCTTCTTTTTAAGAGAGATTTTTCCTATAGGGAAGCCTGTGCTTGCCTGAGAGACGAGAAAAAGTGAGAAATCATGCCTTGGGAGGATGGCCATGCTACAGTCCCCTCTCCATTCTCCTCTTGGGATTTTGGGCACTCACACACTTGTGCTTGCCATGAGTGTTAAGCCTCCAGGTCTGGGACTTGAACCGTGGTCAATCATGTGGGAGTCCAGTAGCTTAACCACTACATCATCTGCAGGGTCCAAAAGATGGTAGTCCTTTCAGGCCCACTGTTATATATAAAGAATGCCTTCCTGCCTGTACTACATGGGTTTTAGGAATACTAGAGCCCTTTAGAATCCAGACTTTGGAGACCAGCAGATAGCATAATGGTTACTTTGCTAAACTTCCACATAGTCGACCGGGGTTCAAGTCCCAGACTTAGTGGCTTCAAACTCATGCTTGGGTGTGCGTGCCCAAGATCCCTAGAGAAAAAAGGAGAAGGGATTGTGGTGTGGCCATTCCCCTGGGGGGTGATTTCTTGCTTTCTGTCTCCCTGTCTCTCACTGTCTCTCAGGCGAGTACACATGCCCTATGGCAAAAATCGCTTTCAAAAAAAAAGAAAAGAATTCAGACTTTGTTTTGTATGATTTTCCCAGTTCAGTAATGATACCAGGTATGTTTATATACGACAGATCTGCCCGTTCTTCCTTTTACTGACATCCCAGTTTCAGTCACCGGCAAAATCCCAGTCTAAGCCATGTGTCTTCCTCTTCTAAAGGAAAGAGCTCAGCGATGAAAGGGAGTCAGGTATGGAAGGCCTTTCGACTTCCAGGAGTAGATAATACATTGCGTCCTGGCTGTTGTGTTTCAGCCTGAAACGCATGTGGCACTGCTGCCATTGCAACTTGATCCTTCAACTAGTTCAACTTGGTTTCTGCCCCACCTTCTAGACATGACATTTAAGGGCACATTCTTCAGTAAGAAAATAGGTATCGTGGTAACTAATTGTTTTGGGTCATTGGTGTTACTAAATACAACTGAAAATCCCTGGGTTATGGCAGGTGGGGAAGGAGTTGGTCTGGGACTCGCTTCCTAAAAGACACAGGCATGCATGTGGACAACTGTTATTCCTTTGGCCATCTTTTTCTGCTCAGCTCTAGAAGACTCTGATGGAAGACAGGACTCTCCAGCAGGGGATCTGCCAAGGCGGGACCACCAGCCAACAGGTAAATTTTAAAAAGTGATGTTTCCAGAATCTTTGGTAGGGGCCTCTACCGTGGTTTCCTTCCAGACAAAAGTTGTGAAGCCGTGAAAGTAAGATTTAAATTACGTTAGTTAAGGCCTTTTTTTCTCACTCAGGAAACATTTATTCTCCACTTACGGCCATAGTTGATAATGAGAATCTCTGCTGACAATCTTTTTGACACAGTCTGTCCCCAAGGAAAGGTGCTAGGAACCCCCGGTGCCTTATGCTGGTGTCTGTTCTGTAGCCACAGCCATGTGAAGCAGATTTGACTTCAGTTTTCTTTCTCTTTGCAGAATCTGAGCCAATCACCATAAATCTCCAAGACCTACTTTCCTGTTCTAATCTTGCAGTGCAACACAGATACCTGTTTGAGGAAGACAATCTTTCACGGTCTACACAAAAACTTTTCCATTCAACAAAATCTTCAGGTAATTTCAAGTAAAATACTACTGTATGATTACTTGATACCAGCTTTTAGCTTGCCAACAAACTTATCTTAAAGGAGGAAAGGAAAAGAAAAAGTAGCAAATAGAGAAAAAAAAAAAAAAAAAAAAAAAAAAAAAAGACCCACTGGGACCAGCCATTTGGGATGATGGTTAAGATGGCTGGATCCTACATGGCTGACTGGGCATTTGAGTCTCAGTCTTGTTGGCTTGAAAAACACACCAGGTTGGGCCAGCAGATGGAATCATTGGACTCCAACATGGCCGACTGTGGTTCAAGTCCCAGACTTGGTGGCTTGCTTTCCCTCTTTCTAAAATAATAATAAATAAATAATTTAAATTTTTTATTTAATTTTATTTGTTATAATAATTATTTTTAAATTTTCTGTAGGGTATGTTCACTTACCAGAAAGGGAAACAGAGAGAGAAAGAAAGGGAAAATGAGAAAAAAGCCACCAGGTCCAGGACTCAAACTGTGCCACCACCTGCTGGCCCCATAAATAATTCTTTAAAATAAAAAAAAAAAGAAGAAGAAAGAAAGAAAAAACATATCAAGCACATGTGCGTGCATGCCCAAAATCCAAGAGGAGAATGGAGAAGGGCTTGTGGTGTGGCCACCCTTCTTGGGGAGGGGAGTGATTTCTCACTTTCCCTCTCTCTCTCTTGCTCCCTCTGCCTCTCTTCAGTGAGTGCACATGCCTTATATCAGAATGTTTTAAAAAATATTTTTATAAAGAACAAACTTAAGCAAAATTAGAACTAAAAAACTCCTGAAACTAGAGTCATCTTTCCCCCTAATCTGCAATAAGGGTTATTTCCAGTTTTGGAAGCATCTATAGCCCTTTCCTGGTATTTATTTCACTGGATCTGTCTGTATGGAAAAAGTCGAGCATTTCTTTCAGTGTGGTTTCCTCCATATGCTGATTCAGTCCTATTATTATGTGTCTGGGAAGTCTGGTGGATTATAGAGGTGAACATTTTCCATCTGCTCTCTCAGGAAGCCCTTTGGAAGAAAAACATGATCAATGCAAATGTGAAAACCTTATCATGTTCCAGAACCTTGCAAATGAAGAAGTAAGAAAATTAACGCAGCGCTATATCCTTTTGTAATATCATGCATCTGCACGGAATGCCAAGAATATTATCAAATCTTCACAAATAATTTATGTGGGTTTTATCATGACTTTTTCTCATGAAGTCAAGAATAGTGAACTCCAGGAAAAGCTTTTTTTTTTTCCCTTAAAAAGCCTGATAGATATTTAAGGGTCAAGGTCAAGCTTAGTGGCAAGGGTCAAGGACTTAACTGGCCTCTGCTGTTTTAGCAGGTCTAGCAGTAAGGTCAGTCAGCCGTCAATATGCGAGGTGAAAACAATATTTAACTCCCTCCTGAACGGGAAGGTATGGAAGGTATGTACGGAGCCTGATGTGGACTGAAGGTGCAGTGTGTATAGCAGAGGATATGGTAGAGCTGAGATTTCAAACTCGCTGTGAACTCCAAAGCTTTCCTTCAGCCCCCAAGGAGCACTGCAGCCACATTGGGATTCGATATGTGGTTTCTGGAGGATTGGATTTTTTTTATTTATTTTTTTCCTTCGGTTTTGGCAGCAGAGATCTTCCATATCAGCACTCTATAAGATGAAGCATTCTACCCAGGGGACTGCAGGATCCAATGATTCATTAAAACAATATTACAAATTAAAGGAATGCTTTGGGATAATAGAGAGTGATGATTTAGTGCTTTAGAGCACTGCCAACTGCTCTGAACTTAAAATGACAGTAAACACACTACAGCTCACCAGAGCTGGCCAATGTCTATCTAAACGTGCATCAGCTAGCCCATAGGGATGTGGTTCAGCTCCGAACCATCTCTATGCCACTGGGCTGATACAGGGAACAGCAGCATAGAGAAATCCTTTCTGAAAACTGGAAACACTGGGACCAGCAGTTAGCGTAATGGCTATGTCTCTGAACTCCCATGTAGCCAACTGCGGTTCGAGTCCCTGACCCGGTGTATTAAACTCACGTCGGGTGCCTGTGCGTGCGTGCCCAAGATCCTGAGAGGAGAATGGAGGAGAAGGGATTGTGGTGTGTCCATCCCCCCTGGGGGGTGATTTCTCTCTGTCTTTCTGGTGAGCACATGACCCTATAGCAAAAACCTCTCCCAAAAAAAAGTAATAAAAAAAAAAAAAAAAAACT